TGCCTCGCCTCGGCCTTCCCTCCTGCGTAAAAGCCCTGCGGGAGGGTAGGGGAGGCCCCAGTGCGGAATTGGGGTGGGCCGGGGTGCCTGGGGCTGAGGAAGGCCGGCTGGCCGTCCTCCTCCGTGGGCGCTGCAGGACGTGAAGTAGCGGGTTCGCCTCTCACAGGTACGTGATAACGCTGCGGGAGATGGCGGGCGGCCCTTGGGGGGCATCGCTGTGCCTTTTGGCTGTGCCAGCTTGGCAGTACGTGCAGGGTACGTGGAGACCGGCCAACCCATGGCATCTCTCTGCAAAGTACACAGCTGCAGGTCATGGCTGTCTTTAGTAGCAGTATTATTTTGCTGCATGAGCAGCACTGACTCAGTGTGCCGCTGCAGCTGTGGTCCTCCCATAGTTCAGCTCTGTCTTGGAAGATGCTCTTTTCAAGTGCTAATGAATTACTATAGTATATCTTGCTATAATGTACTGACACAAAAAGTTTATAACACATGTGGATCAAGATGCCACTGTGGTTAAGGTAGAGCAAAACATTACTTGAAAGCTGTAGAGTTTAATGAATTATCTCCAATTCTCTCAAACGGAGTGGCATAATGGGGTTTTAACAAGGTGGTTTGTTAGGTGCTCATCAGACTCTTAAACAAAGGATGAACTGCTTCTGTCAAGCCTATCATTCTATTTTCAAGACCCTAGCTCAGAAAAACTGGGAATATAGGCAAATAATCTTTACTGTAATATTAAGCAGGAGCATCCAAGAATCATGCTTATAAGGAAGCATCATGAATGCTATTCACCGGCATAACGGTTAGGAATCTTCATCTCCTCTGTCAGGCAGAACAGTGACATAGAAAATGGCTACCTCAGAAGATTATAAAAACATGTACAAGGAGATACATCCTAATCTACACTTGAATTGTGTGGAAACAAGTGTTGATTATCTCTGTAGTGGTTACAGTAGCAACCTTATGGTTGCAGCCATATTTATGTGTTAGAATAGGATTACTTAAAGCTCGGTAGCATGTTTGTGGAGGATATGTAACTATTTAGTCTGATACTGTGAAGGAATGCTTGTCTTTAAATAAATCCAAACAATCCAAAATGTCATAGGGCATGAAGAAGTGTTTGAAGAGCAGCACTGAGTTACTAAATTTTTGATCAGTTTGGTAATCATGCACACCTATGTTAGGATTCTGAGGGTGGAATTTCTTGTCTTTGCCCCTCCCCCCCCCCTTTTTTTTTTTATTTCTCTTACTCTTCTACCTACAGTCTGTTCCCAGGATTTATAGTTCCTTAGATCAGTGAAAAGGTAGATTAGGTTAGCTAGTGTTGTATCAGAGAGGGAAAAATACAACAAGGCTTATCTTGTTTTATGATAGCACCGTTGATAATAGTGATACACAAGACATAATTTCTTTTTATGTTTCCAGTAGGGCATTGGCAGGAGGTAGGAAACAAAATACTATTAATTGGGCTTTAATGTTTAAAATCCTGTTAAATAGAAAATGTTGTGCTGTCTACTCTGGGGTCCTCAGTACACGAAGGACATGGACCTGTTGGAGAGGGTCCATACGAGGCCACAGAAGTCATTAGGGGGATGGAGCACCTCCGCTATGCGGAAAGGCTGAAAGAGTTGTGCTTGTTCAGCCTGGAGAAGACTGTCAAGACCTTGTTGCAGCCTTTTAGTACTTAAAAGAGGCCTATAAAAAAGATGAAAAGAGACATTTTAGCAGGGCCTGTTGCAATAGGATGAGGGGTAATGGTTTTAAACTAAAAGAGGGGAGATTCAGGCTGGATGTGAAGAAAAATTCTTACAATGAGGGTGGTAAAACACTGGCACAGGTTGCCCAGAGGGGTGGTGTATGCACCATCCCTAGAGACATTCAAAGCCAGGCTGGATGTGGTTCTGGGCAACTTGATCTAACTGGAGATATCCCTTGCTTATTGCAGGGGGGTTGGACTGGATGACCTTTGAAGGTCCATTACAACCAAAATATTGTATGATTATATGATCTTTGGAGGTTTTCTATACCAGATTGATAAAGCTCTGAGAAACCTGATGTTACTTTGGTTTTGAGAAGCTGAGCTTTAGATTGACATATTGAAATGTTATGTATGCCTTGAAAAAGTACTTAAAAAAAATACTTGATGTGCATGTGTGTTTTGTTTAGAGCATGGATTCACAGAAGGATGTTCAGCCTCCAAAGCAGCAGCCAATGATTTACATTTGTGGAGGTAAAGAAAAGACATCAGTGAATTTTTTACTTGTTACTGGAGATTTGGTGTTTTAATAATGAAGACTGCATAATCATACTGAAGAGTACATAAATATAAACAGTTGTAAGTTGTAGTGTGGATCCTAGTATTCTTTAAAGCATTACACACTGATGGTACCACATACATGGGGTATATTTGGATAGTGATGTGGAAGTAATTCATGAGAGCTTGTGGAGGTTACTCTGTGGAGGTCCTCTATCTCCAGAGGATGCTTTCTCCAAGGGTCTGCTTGTGGTGCAGATACTGGACTTCTATTTAGTGCATCTCAGAGTTTTTTGAAAATGCTAAATGGTTACTCAGCTTTTTGTGAAGTGCAGTAGTCAAATTCTCTCTTATCTATACATAAGACAACAACTTAAGAATTGGTGATTTTGAGACATCACTTTGGGACTATCTGAAATATTTTATCTTTTAAGAAAATAAACTTAATTCTCCAAATTTGGGGGTTTGGGAGAATGAGCTGAAGATTTCATTAGTAGGCGGTCTAGTTGTATCAAGAGCAGAATATATTCTGTACAGTAATAATCTGGTGATTTTTAGCAAGATCCTCTTTGATCTTAATATAATTGAAGATTGTTAATTTTTTGCACAGTATCTTCATACCATTCAGCTGTTGCTACAAATTCACTACAGTTGTCTTCTGTTACGTTTGTTTGCCACAAATAGGAATTTGACTGTTACGACTTTTGAAAGTTATCTGTGCATTAACAATGTTGGTTTTGTTTACCCACACCCTTTATCTTTCTCCATCACATCAGAATGTCATACAGAAAATGAAATAAAGGCAAGAGATCCCATCAGATGCAGAGAATGTGGCTACAGAATAATGTACAAGAAAAGGACAAAAAGATGTATCCTTTTACACATGCACTTGACAGTATTTGGGAAGGTGTGGGTGAAGACAAGCTATATAAGGGAAACAGAATGGAAGATTTGAGTAATGATATAAGAATCTTTCAAGGCCAGAAATAAGTATAGTAGAGCAAAGTACTATAGGGAAACCTTTGCAGTGTGATTGGGCACATTGTACATTTTCCTGGCACTGTCTCTTTTTCATATTTTCTATGCAAAATATAATAAGCTATGATAGTCTGCTGGGTGACATACTATGAATTGTTGATATTATTCAGCTTTTTAAGGAAAGAAAGATGCTGTGGAGTTAATTAAAGAGCGAGTTTTGAAATGCTTTTATATAGTTAGTTGTGACTTTAGATTTAGACAGTGTCTCTTCCCCTCCGCATCTTTTTTCAACCACAATACATTTTTTTCTTTAACTGCACTATTCCAGTGGTGGTTTTTGATGCCCGATGAAGTCTGCTGAAGATACAGTAACTTCATGATGCAGTTTAATCTTTCTGATAACCTTGCTCTGTAAATTCATTTGTGTACAAATGCACACTGTTATCTGTGTTTTAAGAGATTGAAATATTAAAGTTTAATGTGATACTAAATTTTGCCTGTATTGTCTTCCAGCAATAGATTTCTACAGCTGTCCTTTAAATTGTAGTTGGAGTATGCAGTAGTCTTTTTAAGTTCAGTGGTATTGTGTTCTTTTTGAGTTAACCTTGTTTTCATTACTATCATCTAAACTTTATTTGCATTTTAACTTCTGTTACATATTCTCTGGACTCCTACGGACTCCATAAAATAACCGTGGTTTGAGTAAATTCCACCAAAAATAAGTAAGTTACACAGGCCAGGTCTGAAACACAAATTTGCATTTCAAAAGAGCAAACCTCAAAGGACTCAACAGCACCCCATTCAGGCTCCTGTTTGTAAAGGACTTGTCAAAAAATTAATCTCTTGGAAGAGGGGAGGAAAGGTAAGTATTAGAAATAATGTGTAAACAGGAATTCCCAGCATGCTTCTTGTCTTGGTTGTACTCAAGGAAAGAATTAGATCCATACTATAAAGGTAATTTGGGTAGTGTCCTGAAACAAAAATAGAATCTTGTTTTGCTTTTCAGGAGTCTGTAATAAAAAGATCAAAGTGGTTTTGTATTGATGAGCCAGAATTTTTTTCATCTGGCTGTTTGGAATGTGCATTGAGATAGTTTATCTCTCATCAATATTAGTAAGGTATCCTTTTTCCAGACTGCATGACTGTGTACTGGCTCATAAAAGAACTGCAGTGGGTCATTTCAAGCAATAAAAAACCATTCTTGAGATTTTGGATCTGTTTAGTAAATATTATCTTAGGTATCTTATCTTAGCTATAAAGACATTTCTTACCTCATTTCTTCCTTGGAAGCCACATACACCTCAGCGTAAGTGCATAAGAATATAACGGTTTTGCTACACTGTTGCTATCGGTTTGTTCTCCCCACTGGCACACACAGCGTGCACCGTGTGCCTGCACAAGAGTAAGGAGGGCTCTGCTGCTCCTGAGAGCTGCCAGCTGCGCTAAGGTGAGAGCAATGGCCTCGTGGAACTAAGGCTGGCTCTGCGGGGCTGTGGACCGGCTAGGCGCCTCGTTCTGCTAGGCAAAGGCAGAGGTGAGCACCTGCTGCCATCAGGAGGGGGTGCGGGCCTGCTTCAGAGAGCAGTGCCGGGGGCTGCACGGCTCACGGGCACCTCCGCTGTAGGCAACAGCGTTGGGAGGGGACTGCTTGTTCTAAGCTAAATAAAATACTACAAAACAAACAATACATTGAAAACAGACGGGGCTGTAGCTTTAATCCCCTAAGTGCTGTGTTTCTGTGCCGTGACCCCTACGGCATACGGTGGAGGGCGCGGAGCGCCCCCAAAGTCCCCGACGCCTCTCTTCTCAACCCTAGCGCTCCGCTCCCGCCCCGCAGCCTCCGCCACACACAGCCCAGCAGCGCATGCGCGGCGGCGGGCGAGAG